TGGGGTTGCCACCACGACTGGCACCGGCCACCTTACGACCACAGCTAGCAACAGCCGCCTCAACAATCGCAGAGTGGAACAAGGCCCACTCGGACTCAATGTTCCCCACTGCTCTCGGGACGCGGTCAAAGCTCTGCCGGAGGTGGGAGTTGAAGACCATCTTAACAGGTTCTTCTGCTAGGCGTTCCCAGCAGACCCTCACTATGCGTTTGGGTCTGCCAGGTCTACGTGGCATCTTCCCCTGCCATCTGATCCAACTCACCACCAGGTGGTGATCAGTTGACAGCTCCGCTCCTCTCTTCACTCGGGTGTCCAAAACATACGGCCACAGGTCAGATGATACGACTACAAAGTCTATCATCGACCTGCGACCTAGGCTGCCCTGGTACCAAGTGTACCGATGGGCATCCTTATGTTCAAACATGGTGTTCGTTATGGCCAAACTGCGGCTTGCACAGAAGTCCAATAAAGAAACACCACTCGAGTTCAGATCAGGTGGGCCGTTCCTCCCAATCACACCCCTCCAGGTCAAGCTGTCATTGCCCACGTGAGCATTGAATTCCCCCAGCAGGACAATGGAGTCCCCTGATGGAGCACTATCTAGCACTCGTCCCAGGGACTCCAAAAAGGTTGGGTACTCTGAACTGATGTTTGGCCCATAAGCACAAACAACAGTCAGGACCAGTTCCCCGACCCGAAGGTGCAGGGAAGCTACCTTCTCATCCCCTGGGGTAAACCCCAACACACAGGCAGAGAGTCTTGGGGCTAACAAAAAGCCAACCCCAGCCCTCCACCTCTCACCCAGAGCAACTCCAGCAAAGGAGAGTGTCCAACCCCTCTCAAGGACTTGGGTTCCAGAGCCAATGCTATGTGTCGAGGTGAGTCCGACTATGTCTAGCCAGTACCGCTCAACCTCTGCAACAAGCTCCTGCTCCTTCCCGCCAGCGAGGTGACGTTCCATGTCCCAAAAACCAGTTTTCTTATCCGGGGAATCGACCGCCCAGGCTCCCGCCTTGGTCTGCCACCCGTTCCACACTGCACCGGACCCTTCATGTTCCTCTTGCGGGTGGTGGGTCCACAGTTGGATGAGCCCATGTATCCGGTTAGGGCTGGGCCCAGCCGGGCCCCATGGGCGAAAGCCCGGCCACCAGGCGCTAGGGCTGGGCGATATGACGATTTTAGACCGTTTTACGATCTACACATCTGACGGTCTGTCATTTTTGAGAGACCATTTTATCACGATTCACAGCTCTGCTTCTGCCTCTGAATGAAAAGGGAACTTACCCCAGGCGAATGACACGCCTTTGTTTGACCCTTAACCAATCAGAGTGAGTCACAGTAATATATTAGTGCCCCGCTTGTTTGCATTTGTGTGTGAACAAACATGGTTTCGCCGCGGCTGAGCGACAACGAGGTTTTCGTTCCGAAGAGGAACGCAGGGTTTCCTTAGCGCGCGGCGCTAACAACTTAGTGACGTGACATGTCTCGGAGAAAGCGTAAAAACACGTTGGACGCTTCTTCTGAAGCAGGAAAATAACACCGCTTCTTAAGCAGAGCACGACGCCGCCTCGGCTCGTCCACCCTCTGCCGAGCCGGTGTCGGTACCGGACTGAGCTCGGTCACTGGTGGAAAACCAGCGGGTTTCATCAGACTCGTAGTTTCTTGTTTTTGCTGGGGGACCCCCTGTATTTTACCGCTCCCTTCTGCAGTCTTCCCCTACTAACATTTAAAATGATTCTGTAACTCTGTGTATCAATAGAAACAATCTCTGCCTCTGCCAGCTGCAGTAAATGTAGTTTCCAAATAATAAGAGGTGCATTCATCTGTGTATCTCCTTTGATCCGCATTAGTGATATTCTCAGCACCAGAACAGTGAAGCAAAGAAAGATTCCTGAGTTTATGTTAGTAATTTTATTTATTAGGTGCATCTTTCCTGTTCTATTTTTCTCTGAAATGAGATCAAATCAGTGCTTCTATGGGTTGTCTCCAATCTGCACTGGAAAATTTTACTTTATTTAGAGACTTGTTGCAGAAAATATTCAGAATGCGCAGTTTTTTGCTACCACGAGCGATCTCTGGTCCAGCCGCACATCAGAGCCGTATTTGAGCTTAACTATCCACTACATGAGCTACTGGGAGCTACATAGTATTTTGAACAAGTTAATGTTTGCACAATACGTTTGCAATTGACATGTTTGCACTTTAAATATGTTTACGATTTTAATTTATGTTAAGTTACTTGAAAAACGAGAAAAACTGATTTTTGTAATTGTTTCTCTCAGGGCTTTTATCATCTCTGGTGTGAGTTTAAAATATAAGTGTGTTAGCACTGTGCTGATTATCCCTAATATGAATAAATGTTTATTTATTCAATGTTTCTCTTCTTTAATACGCAATTGAAGTTATGCTATTCATGGATAAAAAAATCGTGATAAAATCGAAATCGTGATAAAATATTGGAAAAATCGTGATATTCTATTTTTGCCATATCGCCCAGCCCTACCAGGCGCTCGCTCACAGGCCCCAAACCTAGGCCTGGCTCCAGGGTACGACCCCGGTAACCCTCCGGGCCGGGTACTCAGACTCTTTGACTTTACCTCCATGAAAGATCCTGTGAACCGTTCTTTGTCTCACCCTTCACCTAAGACCAATTTGTCATGGGGGACCTTACCAGGGGCACAAAGTGCCCCAGACAACTTAGCTCCTAGGATCATTAGGGCACTCAAACTCCACCACGATAAGGTGACGGTTCAAGGAGGATGATTCTTAGTTGCACCATCTAATTACATAACAAACCATTTTTACAAATGAATCTTATTTTAGTCTGATTATTTGTATAACTACACTTATTACTAATTCATCTACTGTTCACATGACTAAACAAATACATATCACTCCCCTCACCCTCTGAAACAGGCAAACAAATGGAGACAAGATGGAAAAAATATCTGTTGTTAATATCGGTCCGGTTTTATTTATCGAACTGATACCAATGTGTTAAAAATGACTAACATCGGCCGATACCGATATTGATGCCAATATATTGTCCATCCCTACTTATTACTACCATCAAACCTTTTCCGAGTTCAATATTTGATCAACTTTAAAGCAACTCACGATTTGATTCGATTCCGATTCTTGGGGTGCCGATTCGATTCAGAATCGATTCTCGGTTTAAATCGATTCACAATCAATATTAACAAAGAGTGTCAGTTCCAGGATTAACTACTTTGTTGTGCAAGTTAGTTAAAGCTATGGGATTTTTTTATTTTACTTTAAACTGGTCATGCTAGAAAAAAAAAGCTAATTTACAAGGTAAAATAAAGTGATTCTAAAACTGTAAACAGAAACAATCTTTTGACCAAAAGGCAACATTTATTTTTGCTTACCTTGTAAAATATAACAAATCTTTAGTTACCTAACAGTAGCTTTGAAAGTAACACGGTCAAATACTTTTTAAGTACCTGTGGAAACAAGTTTAACATTTGAGTCCTTGACCTGTTTAAAAAAAGTGCCTCAGATTTCTTACAAAGGAAAATGTTTTCTCTCATTTATCAATAACTTTAGATAAACACATGAGTAATCCTGAGTACTCACTTTTCAACTTAGAAAATATATATGAGAATATCTAAAATTTCTGTGTATGGAAAAAAAAATGCATTCTTGTCCCCACTTATAAGCAGATTCAAACATAAATCATCCCAATTTATGGGATCACAAAAGTAAACGCAGTACTAACTCTCCTAACAAAGACCAATAAATCATACAAAAGTGCATCTCAAACCTGTAACATACCAAACATTTGAGTTCCTGGAATCAATTCTGAACCTTTGTGAATCGATTCTGACTCTTTTTAAATAAGAATCCTGATTCAGACTTTAATCGATTTTTTTCAGCACCTCTAGTGCTTTATGTAGAAATGAAGTAAAAATGACATCCTGTGGTAAAATTCGCAACCACTTTAAACAACTCTGGAGCTTTTTGCTGGCCTTTGTCAAATTACAATTGTCGACGCTGCAGTATTAGCTCGCAGGAGACATGGCAACCCCACACTCACTGATGATAAACAGTAGTTACGTCCCTCCTTTCTTTGTTTTGAAAGGAGAAAAACAGACAGTTCCCTGCAGCCAGCTGGAAATGAAATATGTTTCAGTACAACCTTCCTTCCAAATGACTGAAACATTAGACTCTTTGGGGATTTTCTCACTGTAAAATTCTCACTATATTCTTACATATCATTCTTTAATCATAAAAAGCATTAGGTGTTTGCAATATAGAAGACTTTAATGCATGCAATAATCAAATAGCCATGTTTTTAGTGTGCCTCCACTAGAGAGCATCAGGTCATAATTTTTATGTTTTGCCTTTCAACTGTGACCTCATAGGTAATAGTCATGTGAATAAAAATACTGGCAGGCTCCTCCCGAATGGGGATTGTGTCAGACACAGAAGTACAGAGGCATGCAACAAATACACTGTCCTCTTTTTTTACCTGACATTTTTCTCGTCTGGTGGGTGCGGCACACGACATTTGCGATTACCTAATCACACTGGGGAATCACATGGTAGATGTGTAAGAGTCTCGTGTTGAAGTCCGGTTACCAGTCAAACTGCTTTTTAGTCATTAGGCTATTTTTAGAATGAATAAAAAGTGACAGAGGTAAGCTACTAGTTCAACCAATGAAGACATCAAGGCTCACATCACATGACTTTGACAACAAGTCATTTACTAAACCAAAAATAATTTAGCTTTGCAAGTCGGGTTAGGATTATATAGTCACATATATAGGAAGGCTTGCCAGACTAGTCTTTGTGTCCAGAGCTCACACTGTCACCATAGTAATCTTTTTTTGTCTTTTCTTTTCATCAAAACTGATAAAAGATTTCTCATAAAAAAACACACTTTGGGTTGGCCTCCTTTCTTTTTTGCCATGATGTCACATTGCTTGATTGCCAGAAAGATAAACCCTGCCTTCATACCACATCTCTTCTGTAACCACATGGGAGATGAGCAGAAGCTAGTTGGCTGTGTTGATTTTGACTTCAGTGTAAAATGTTAATCAAGTGGAGCTGTTGTCAGACTGAAACCCACTGTCATAACCACGTACTGCTTTGTGTTTGCAGACAGAAGACATTAACGTATCAGCGGGGCCAGTAAAAGAAGCCAAAGAGCACCTTCCACCACCTGACCCACAGTTCCTTCCTATCGATGTTGTATTTGAAACAGTTGCAATTGGAGCTCTTCCTCCTCTGCACTTCCTCAATGAGACCATCTTTGAGAGGACGGCCTCAGAGAGAAAAGACGAGGAGAAAATTCTTTCTCACAGCACAGAGCAGAGGTCTGATCTCATCTCTGGCATGTACGAGGGAGGCCTGAAGGTGTGGGAGTGCACTTATGACCTACTAGAGCTGCTTGAGAAAGACGGAGAGACGATCAGGGGCAAGGCGGTTCTGGATTTGGGCTGCGGAGCTGGACTGTTGGGAATTCTGGCTCTGAAGAGAGGAGCCAGACAGGTCCACTTCCAAGATTATAACAGTACAGTCATCGAGCAGCTGACCCTTCCGAATGTAATGCTAAACTGTCAAGAGGACGAGGATGTGGACTGTGAGGATGACAAAAAAGGGAAGGGAAAAGGGAAGATTCAAGTGAAAGAGGATAGTGAGAAGAAAGGTCAAGAGGGGGTCAACTCTGGCCATCCACCTCCTAAGAAAAGAGCTCTTGACATTTCTCGGCACCAGTTACTCAAGAGATGTTATTTCTTTTCTGGTGACTGGAGGACATTTCTTCCTTTGGTTCTTAAACGAGAACCAAAGCCCAAGTTCGACATAATATTCACCTCAGAGACCATCTACAACACTGCATACTACCCTGCTTTGCACGAGACCCTCCACAAACTGTTAGCACCCGATGGTCTGGTCTACCTCGCCACCAAGTCGCACTACTTTGGTGTCGGCGGTGGGCTACATCTGTTTGAGACATTTGTGGAGCAGAGGGGTGTTTTCTCTCTCTGTCACCTGTGGGATGGTGAAGAAGGCCTTCAGAGACACGTAGTAGCGCTTCGCTTCAAACAGCCCAAAATCTGTTAAACAGGATTGAAATGATTATTCATTAATTACCATATGGAAACGAGGTTTTAATTGTAACCCTAACCCGAGAACAAGGAAAAACGAATAAAAGTCTTTCTGTTTTTGCTCTTTCATCGCCTGCTCAGTCTTTTGCTTCCTTTATAGAAATTTGAATATGTCAGTAACTGAAGTGCTGGTGAAAAGGGGCTGCTGCAGGTCTTTAGATGCACGGGGAGAAAAGAAAGGAAATGGGCTCGGTGACCTTTTCGAGTGTTTTCCCCCCGTGTTCAAACGCCAGCATGAAAGCCAGGCTTGTTTCTGCAGTCCAGCACAAAATGTCAATTGCAACTTATCCCACCAGCCTAAGGATGTCGTTTGAAAGTGGATTCTAGCGCCACTGCACATCAATAGTGGGTTTCTGTGGGGTCTCTGTACCTCTTTTTCAACTGGATATATAATCTAGATGGGACCCTTTTGGAAAGCAAAACGATAGAAGTATATACATCCCATAAACAGGACGGTTTGAGTAGGGAACCACGCTGTTATTTTTTCCGACACCACCTGGAATCCCTGTTCCACCCAGAACAAGGAAGTCCACTGGAATATTCTAGCAGGGATTTTTTTGGAGGAAGAATGCATCAAGTCTGGGCTAGTTCGAGCTGAAGGTTTGCAGATGCAGCAGGACGATTAAATCAGTGGGGGGGGGGGGTTTACAGTCGAAACAATGGAACGGTGTGAAAAAAGCTTTTCGTCATGTTTGACTGTGATTGAATAGCTAACAGACTTTCATTAGACTATTGCTAATATGCAAATATCCACATTACTCAAAACCCATCCCTAAAACGCAAAACCATCATGCTGACTTGATGAAAAACAATATTTAACACCCATCAAACCTCCTCGAGGAAACGTTAAGTCAGCAGCGCAAGCATGACGATGCATTTTCACACCCACGCGTGTGTGTGAACAGATTTTCCATTTTCTTATTATGCAAATATACTTAAGTAATAAACACTGGTTAAACACGCCAAACAGTTTCTGTGTGCACAAACGGCCTAGCAAACTTCCAGCGTATCAGCTCTCATCTAGACAGCTGTTTGTGGCCTGCGGGGGAATTCCTGGTTCCCTGAGTGTACGCAGCCTTTCCCCTGCCTGCTTTATGGGAACAGGGGGCAGGGCAAGTCAGATGGTTTTCCTCAGAAACTATTATGTGTTGATTCACTGCGAGGGGGCGTGCTTTTCACTCCCACTGCTTCCTTCTTACTGGGAAGTGACAGTCAGGCTTACCGTATAGAGGGAGTGTGTAAAAAAAACTGGGGAGGCTTTAATAAATAAGCTTGTTTGCTCTGAATGTCAGACATTCTGCCACATCCTTCCTTACGGTTTGGAGGAGCCGAACGTGCAGTTGAAGTGGGAAGAGATATAGGAAAATGCTCTGAGATGACTTTCTGTTGACAAAGTGGCTGCTGGGCTGCGATGGACTGGCTCTCTGTCCAGGGTGTACCCCGCCTGATTGCCCATTGACCGCTGGAGATAGGCACCAGCCCCCCCCGCGACCCTACGTGGACAAAAGCGGGTTCAGACAGTGGATGAATGGAAAGTGGTTGCTGAGGTGTGTTTTAGGGTGGGGAATATCTGCCTTTTATTGCAGGGTCCGACAGATCCTGGATCTGGAAATACAAATCTTCAGTGACAGACTCAGGTAAGTGGTTCAAATAGCACTTTTTTCTTTTGCAGTTCCTGACCATGAAAAATTAGGTGTCTATTAAAGACTTTATATAGCCTTTGAGTCTGAGTTAATACCTCCTTAGGATATTTCTTGTCCTGTAAGAAGACTGGTCCAGGCTGCAGAACCGGTTGTTTCCCAGTCCAACTGACAGAAAGATATGAGTTTCCTGGATGTGTTCAGGTGTGGCCTTCCTTAGAAAGTTAATTGTACCGAACTGTTCTCCAACAGAGCACCGGCTTTAACAAGTAAACCAAAGTCTTCCAAGATAACATTGACTAATTATCTCAGTCGCTGTAAATATCGACTCCAGACCTTGGATGAGATGTTTTTATTTCTCTCTTTTTTTTTTCATTTTTTTTTTGTACTGACTGGAGGGAATCTGTGCAATGTAGTACAGTCCAGAGTAATATCCAACTTTTGTTTATTAGGCTTAATAACACATTTACCACCTGTATGTATGTAATCACACCCTATCAGGAGGTAAAGATAATACTTTATGCGTTTCCTTGAACAGAGAGCTTGGTGGATAGACTTTCATTTTAATAGATGCAATTTTTTTTAAGTTTGGATTTAAAAAAAAATAAATAAATAAAAAATCAGAGGTTGTCCAAATCTAAAAATGGTGAGTCACAACTCATTATTTCTACTTTTTTCTGTAATCCAGATTACTAGAGGTTGCTGTAAATGCCACTGTTGATTAATAACTGTTGAAGATCAGGTTTAGTCACCAGTTCGGTGGTCTCTTGCTCAATTTTACACTGGAAAAGCAGAGCTGACTTTATCGTCTCATCATGTTGGGTTTCTTGAGAAATGGGGTGACTTCACACCATGTTCAGCATGTTTCGTCCAATATTTTACACTCTCTTTCCGTCTAAACGTTAACTTTTGCTGTAACTGCAAATTTGAATCTTATGTATGGTTTAAACACTTTCTCTTCAATCCAACAGGGTAACAGCTGGTCTACCGATGCTGATGTCATTCAAGATGCATCTGGAGATGTCAATTTGTTACGTTCCCTGCTGTGAGAACTGAATTCCATAGATGGTGGCATTTTCAGGTGTCATCTATGGGCTCAGTTCTTTTGGCGTGGTTCTGGTTTATCAAATGGGTCAGCACCGGGCAGCAGTGGTCGAGACCGTGTAAAAGCAGAAACACATGAATTTTCTGCTTTCCTAGAGTAACGATTCGTCTAAATCATAAAAAAGTCACTTTCTGATGTTTTCATTCTAAATTATTGTTTGGATTAAATTAAGTATAACTGAAATGTTGATTTGTTGTAGCAACTTTAACACTAACTAAGCATTTGATCAGATGTGCAAAGTGTAGCTGAATGTAAGACCCATGTAATGAAGAAGAGAGATGATGGGCTGCTGCTCTGTGCCCTTCCTGATGCTCACTGACAGTTTTTTAGAGCCAGCTGTGACAAAATGTGCGGTAATGGGTGGAATATGTGATTTAACTGTATTTTAGAAATATGAAAAAGCTTTGACTAAGTGTCTGAGAGGGTTCATTTCCCCAAGTTTGAAAGAAAAAATGCATGAATGTCACTCAATCTGAAACGCATGGAATTTCTTTGTTGTTCATTTGAACCCAAAAGCCATCAAATATGAAACAGATGATATCAACTTGATGCTCATAACATCCATCGGAATCATCACAATCATAGGTCGGCCACGTCACAATATCAAAGCTGAGCTTTTCAGAGTGACGAGTCTGTACGTATATTTTCTGTTCTTAATCTATTGCCTGAAAGTTTCCCTACAGTTTTTACTCACGCCCTCAGTAATAGTTGGGTTCTCTGTAAACCTGAGAATCCTCCTGTTCCCAGGCCATAATGATCAAAATTCAAATTTTTTTTTCTTTCACTGTGATCCACGACAGTTTTTAAAATTACTTCTCTTTTTGTACCAGAACAATATAGTTATTATATAGTTGAGCCACAGTGGAAACTTTGTAAAATATGTAAACTACATTAAAATGCACCAAAAATATAAATGTGAAGAAACGTCACATTAATACTGTGTTTTTTTCACAATACTGTCTACAGAACTTTGTAAAATAGATTAGCCTATACACAATAATGATTTAGGAAACAGATATAGATGTACATGAATATAGAAGTGATTTTATTATCACTGTTGTGACCCGGAATGTCATCTGTATGTTTATATGATGTTCATTTAATTTTTTGTATGTAACTGTCTTGATGTTATAAAATAAAACAACTAATAAAGAACAAATTATCATGCAGTTGTCTTCATTGAGTTCTGGACAATAATTAAGTAAAACCCCAAGCTTATTTATAGTTCCATGCTATATGGAGCAGATATTTAGGCGTTGTTGTTTAATGCAATTCAACAAATGCCGAGCTTTATGGTTGTGGTAGTTTTTTTAAATGGTGGTTTTGCCAAATGTATATCAGTGAGTGCAGCCGGCCTTCATGACACATTCATTTCAGTTTTATATTTGATTTAGTTATTTAAGTATTGTGATGATTTGTTGGTTACAAAGCACAAAGAAATGTGAAGAGAACAAGTTCTTAAAAAGACTACATGAACCCAAACAAAACCAGACATGCAATTGTTTGAGTTTACTATTTATAAGGAATGAGTCATAGTTTTAGAAAAAAACAGCCCATTAATGCTGTTCACAAAAGTTTTACTTCCTGGCATAACCTTGTGAAACATAGTTTTATATTAGTTTAGTTATATATTTCTTAAAATCTAAGCTGTAACATTAGTTCATTTATTTATTTATTTTAGTCTTTTGAAATTTCATCTCAGACGTTTCAATGGAAAACACTTTGCTGCGTATTTTAACACCATATGTTTTCAAAAATGAAACTCTAAAATTATGTTATCATCTGCCCCCTGAGAAACTTCTGAATTATGAGGACCCAACCCTGAACATATACCCGCCTTCTTACAACCACTCAGCCAATCACAGTCATGTTTAAATCCATATTTCATTGTCATTGGCTAACAACACCATTCACTCAATGACGTTTACACCGGCCCAACCAATAGTTGGACAATTGAATGCTCCCTTTTCTCTATTTTGTGTACCAGGACGAGCAACAGGCTCCAACAACGTTTTAGCACAGTAATCTATTTCTGGTTACACAATTCGTTTGTGAAGCATTCATGTAGGTGAACAAGTTAACTAAACGGATTATACGTTGTTTCTTTATAGAAAAAAGTGACTTGTTCGAGGCCCTGGCATGGATGAAGTACGGCCTACCAGTGGTGCCCCAGCCCACGGGCTGGTGCCGCTGTTTCCTCCGGGACTACAGGCTATCTATGGAGAATGTCGGCGACTTTACCCCGAGCAGGCCAACCCTCTGCAAGTTACTGCCATTGTTAAGTATTGGTATGTAACATGTTTTGTTTTTGCTGGTATAATTATGCCTGCGTGAAGTTTGTGAATGCGTTTATTTAGCTTTAGCTAAATGCTAGCCTTCAGTTAGCTTAGCCTACGTGCTAACGTAAACAGTTTTGCTAACTTTCTAAACGATCGTGTGGCCAAAAAAAACTGCTCACGCTATATGTGTCCCTTACAAAACACGATACAAGCACAGCAATATTCAAAAGACAACCTAATAGAATAATACGTATACAGAAAATTTGACGTTATAATTCTTAACTGATTTATTGTCAAATATTCAGTATCTTATAATTCTACAGTAATACTTTTAGCATGGTGTTTGAAGAATAAACCTATCTAGGATAATATGTAGATTTCACCTGAACTCTACATGAAATATTACACTTTAATCCCCAGAATCTCCGGAAAGAGGAAAATTGGGGTGAGGCAACCTATAACGTTGTTTTTTCAGTATAAAACAAGAAAATATGAAATGCAATCTTCATTATCACATTAGACTGTTTTAAATAGGATTTGATATTTGCTCAGTAGTTGTGCTGAGGGTAGAGGTCTTATTCTTAACCCATTTATGATGGAAACTCATATTTAAGCAGTTTTTATAATGTTGCCAGGGACATTTAATAGATCAAAGAAAGCAAATATTTTATATTTCCATTCCTAGAAGTACAATTCAATTCAAAAATACTTTATTAATCCCAGAGGGAAATTGATTGCTGTAGTAGCTCAGAATAATAATAATAATCAAGTCATCAAAGAGTTGTTGTATATTACAATGGCTGTTGGCAGGAAGGATCTCCACTAGTGATTACTGTTGCAGAGAAACTGAAGAAGCCTCTGACTGAAGACACTCTTCCGTTGTCGGACAGTCTTGTGAAGAGAATGCTCAGGGTTGTCCATAATTTTCTTGATTCTCTGGAGAATCCTTCTTTGCATTATCTCCTCCAGTGGTTCCGAAACTGCAGAAACTCTGGCTGAGTCGTTGAAAGGACCTCCATCTTGTTGGCCAGTGATCTCACATTGCCCATTATGATCAATGGAAGAGATGGTTTGAATTTCCTCTTTCTCCGTTTCCGTTTTGCTCCCGCTCTGCACCCACGCTTCTTGCGTTTTAGCTCATTTGGGATTTGTGGCTTCAGTTGAGGTATTATTTCAGCCTTTCCAATGTTAATCAGCTGCTCCCGATTGTAAACTAGCTTGTTGCCATGGTTACACATCATAACAAATGCTCAAAAAGGGAAAAAAGCTATAAAAAAAACGAAGGCTTGAATAATATTATATGTTGTGATGATGATGTTATGATTTAAACAATATTTTCAATAAACTTTAGATGCTTCAGCTAACATCTGTTATCCAGTATCAAACAAGTCAAGCAAGAACTAAATATGAAAACAAAAACTAGCAAGTAATTTTACGCCCCACATGCTAACTAAGTGCTCTATGACTGATGGTTTGCATTTTGCTCTTTTAACAGGCTTGGTGGACCAGACCCTTTAGACTACATCAGCATGTACAGGAACATGGGCTGTCCAGCCCAGGACGTCCAGGAGCATTGGCACTATGTTAGCTTTGGCCTGAGTGACCTTTATGGAGACAATCGTGTTCACGAGTGAGTGAAGGAAAAGTTTTATTATTTTCTAATATGACAAGCCACTTTGTGTAAAAAATATGTAAATTTCTAGTTAATTTAGTTAAAAAGTGGGGTGTCACCAGTCAGTCGGATAAATATTTGCACTATACACCTTTTACAGTGAAACCTTCAACACCACATGCAAAAACCACTGATCTTACTGGCTCATGCTCAGTGTTGCCTCACCGTTCTTGCAGATTTACTGGAGCAGATGGACCCAGTGGGTTTGGGTTTGAGCTCACTTTTAGACTCAAAAGAGAGGCGGGAGAGACGGCACCTCCAACGTGGCCAGCTGAACTCATGCAAGGCTTGGCTCGCTATGTGTTCCAGTCAGGTAAGATTAAATGGTCATTAGGGCTGTAGCGAAGCCTCGACGAAGTCGACGGCTCGATTCTAAAAATTTGTCGACGTCAGATCCGGAAGTCGACGCACCGCGCCCACTTGTTGCACCCCCAGGAGTTTGTAAATAGAGGAGGAATCTGCCTGTTTTTCCTCTAGTTCGCCCTCTTCTCCGCCTTCACTAACATCTCCGCCAAACACCGAAGACCCGGAACAATGTCCGTCCACTACTAGATTATTTTCCTGTTTTGCCCGCCTTCGTCTCCCGGCAACGGACAACAACTTCCGGGGTCAGATGCGCTGCTTCGTCTCTACCGCAGATGTAGAACATCACCGGGAGCATTTCTCCCTTCATTAAGGAGCTTCTTTCAGACATTAGGAGAGCTGTTTTGGTGGTAGCAGTCTCTCCTCCGTGCTGGTCTGTTTGCTGCTGGGTGTTTTTGGTTTATTTAAACTTGGTAACTTGAACTTAATGTTGGTAAAGCTACTGTTAGCATCTTCGCTAACAGCTTTTTGCTTTGGGATAAGCTGTTACGTTTTGGTTTAGAGTTGATCTTTTTTGTGGTGTAGATCTCCCTTTTATTACATTTAGAGTGTTGTGGGTTTTCGGTTTAGTGTAAAATATCACCTGAGTTTGGTTTAACCCGTAACACCACTCGCCTCACGCACATAAGTGACCAAAACAAAGCAGCATGGAGACACTCCATTTTCTACCACCTCTCAGGCAGCAGCCTGCACTCCCAAGTTCTACATGTCACCAGAACATAACCAACCAACACAATAAACGCAGTGTTATACAAAATGGAAGGCCTGTAGTGTTTATTCTCTTACAGTAACAATTTATCAATTTTTTGAGGAATTTATTTGAGATTTTCTGGTTTTTGTTAATTGTGCAATAGAAAAATAATCATTAGATTAATTTTCTAAATAGTCATTAGAATAGTCGACTATTCGATAAAATAATCGTCAGAATAATCGTTTTAAAAATAATCGTTTACCCCCAGCCCTAATGGTCATCTTTTAGCAAATCTGCAGTGATTGACCTTGGAGAAAAAAATTTGTTTTTTTATTTATTTATTTTTGCCTTTTTTCTTTTTGATTAACTTTTAATGTTCAAGAATTGTTTTTATTCAGTCATGCATCCTCTAGGATAACTGAGAGTGTTGATCGATTCAGCCACAGTTTATAGATCATCTACTGCATGTTTGTGTTTTGCCACCACAGCAGGATGTTGTAAATTTAAAGGTCATGCTTTTTGTGCATGCTGCCTGCAGTTACAGTATTTTGACATCATAGCTGAATAGAAGTCAAGGCAGTTTCATTTGTATAGCACATTTCATGCACAGTGGCAATTTAATGTGCATTCCAATAGGGAGAACATTAAAATTTAAGATTTTTATTTAAAAGTTTCTAGAGTTGGGGC